AGTAGCGGTAGCAGCTCAGGCTCCGACTGCAGCCAGCTGCAGCTCCAGCACCTGCCTGGATTTCGAATTTGGAGCTATGGGTCTGAATCCCAGCCATGACACATAGCAGCTGCATGGGCATGGGCTCATTAGAGCACTTCTCCAAGCCTCAGTCTGGGCACATGTGAAATAGGGATCATAATACTTTCACCGTCTACCTCATAGGGTTGGTGTGAAAAAAGTACTTTGCAAACCTTAAGGGCCTGCAAAAATATGAGTTGTTAATCCTAGAGATTCAACTAAACGCTAATTAAAACAATTACTAACCAGCATAGCAAGCAGGATGAATGACAGAAAAGGATATATGACTCATTCCCTAGTAGATAATGGTCACAAGATACAAGCAGGCACTTCTCAAAAGAAGAAAAGCAAGCTATCAACAGCTATACACACAGACAAGCTTTGGAAGTTACAGGTTAAACTGACTATATATTTTCTTTATTTTTTTTTTCTTTTTCTGCTAGGCAATGGGGTTAAGTGACTTGCCCAGGGTCACACGGCTAGTGAATGTTATGTGTCTGAGGCCAGATTTGAACTCGGGTCCTCTTGACTCCAGGGCCGGTGCCCTATCCACTGCGCCACCTAGCTGCTCCCTGATTATGTATTTTCGAAGAAAAGTAAGATGCACAGAATGGAGATCTGTAATCTCATTTACAATCTTTTTTTGTTCTATTATATATATATATATATATATATATGGAAATATCTATTTTATTTTGTGTTTGTTAAGTTCAAAATAAAAATATTTCTAAATGCACATGAGATCAGAGAATTCAGAATTCAGAAGAGAAGATAGAAATTTTGTAACTGACCTGTTAAATTTAATAATATTTTTTTTAAAAAACTCAATAGAAGTTTACAATTTCACATAAAACCCTCTTTTCTATTCTCTTTTGTTTATTGAAATGTTCATGTGAGTGGATATGAGTTTATAATAAAAAAAAACTTTCAATGCTATAGAAAACTAAATAACCATATAAAATGCTTCAACTCGCTAATAATAAAGGAAATACACATTAGAACAACTCTTAGCTTGTTGTTGCAGGGAGGGGGGAGGGAAGGGAAGGAGATAATTCAGAACTTAAATTTTTTTAAATGAATATTACAAATTGTTTTTAAATGTAATTGGGAAAAAATAAAATATTATTATTTTTAAAACTCTAAGGTTCCACCTTATACTTATGAGATTGCCAAAGATGATTTAAAAAAAAAAAGTAAAATAGCCATTTTTAGAGGTGGTGTGAGAGAGCTAGCATACTAATGCATTGTTGGTGGAGCTGTGAATCTGTATAAACATTCTGGAAAGCATCTTTGAACCACCACCATCACCTCCCCAAATCACTAAACTGCACACATCCTTTGGTCCTGAGAGTCCACAAATAGAATCATACCTTGAAAGAGTTAAAAATCAGAAAGGACCCTTATGTGCAAACAAAAAAAAGTCATAACTGTGCTTTTTCTGTCATAACAAAAGAACTGGAAACTAAGGGGATGCCCAATAATTGGGGAATGGCTAAGCAAATTATGGCATATGAATGTAATGGAATTACACCATAAGAAATCATGAAAGAAATTGATTCAGAAAAACATGGGAGGATATGTATGAATTGAGACAAAATGAGGTGAGCAGAACCAAGCAAATAATTACAATACTGTGAAGAAAAACAATTTTAAAAGATTTAGAATCTCTGAAGGATGCAATGACCAATGATGATTCCCAAGGATTATTAACTACAAGCTGTCCTGCCTTACTCTGCAGAATTGTTGGCCTGGGGCAGTGGAGTCCAACTCAAATAAAAATTATTCCTACAGGCTGCATAATCACTTAGAAAACCACAAATTAACATTATCTATATTGTGTTGCATTTTTATTTATTTTGTTAAACATCTCCCAATTACATTTTAAGCTGGTTCTGGCTGCAATAGAATTTTGTTCCAGAGGTACAGAACGAGACATATGTTTTTTTGAACAAGGCCAATGTGTGTGTTTCTTTTGACTGACTATACTTATGATTACCAGGGTTTTTTAAAAAAAAATCTTTTGGTGGGTTAAGTAAGAGGAGGGGTAATGATGTGGTAGCAAAAAATAATTAGTGAAATAGAAAAAAAAGAGAAGAAAAAGCATGCAGAACAGAAGGAGGGATAAGTGGGACAGCTTGAGAATTAATTTACTGAATGAATGATATACTTTAAAAACAACTTGAAAGGAATGTAGATTCAGTTTCATGTAAAATCCTCTTCTGTTCTTTGTTCATGCAAATGGTCATATTTGCTGGTGTTTGTCAAGTTCAGAATAACAAAGAAAAATTTAATGAGTTGTTATTATTATCATCATTATTATTATTATTATTATTATTATTATTATTATTATTCCCACTTCCACACCTTTACCCAGAGTCCCAGACTGTCCCCCTTCCCTGGAATGCCTTTCTAATTGTGTAAATTCTATCCCATCTTTAAGGTCCAGCTCAAGTCAACACTTCAGATTGGCTTATATAATCTGACCATAAAAATGAAGGAGATATTAATTGCCTGCCTGAAAAGATCAGATATTTCCAACACTAATTACTTTGAAGTTGGGCTCCTTGTTCAGCCTAGATCAAAGGTGAGTCCGTCAACATGTCAGCATAGTATTAACGGAGCTGTTTCATTGAACAATAGCATGAATCCTGCACAGCTGCCTAGACATCTGAAGCTATAACATCCAGGATGTTAAACTAAATGAACTGATTTTTTAAAATGAAAATCTCTTGAAATTCCAGAGGCATCCTTTTAAAAAGTGTTTATCTGTTGCAAAACAACTTGGGAGTCTCAGATTTACTTTTCTGAGTTGCTCAATTGTTGGAAAACCTGGATAGACACTCATAAGTTTAATAATTCCAAGCAGTGACACTTTGGAGCCAAAGACAGAATCAAGGAAGGAAGGAAACAAGCATTTATTTAGCACTACTATGTGCCAGATATTTTAGAAATATTATCTCATTCAATCCTCTCAACAGCCCTGAAAGAGAATGTGCTATTATTGTCTCCATTTTACAGATGAGAAAACTGAGTCAGGCAGCAGTTAAATGATTTGCCCAGGGTCTCATAGCTAAGGAGTGTCTAAAATTGGATTTGAACTCAGGTCTTTCTGACTCTGGGCTCAGTGTTCTATCCATTGTGCCACCTAGCTGCCTCTGCTAAATCACAGAATTAGGGGATCAGAAGGGACCTCAGTGGCCATTTAATCTAACCTGTACCCACAAAGGAAACATGCCCAGAGGTGGAAGGGGCCTTTGAGGCCATGAGGTCCAACCCTCTTCATTTTGTAAATAAGGAAACCAAGGCATAAAGAGATTGTCCAAGTGACTTGTCCAGGGTCTCATAGCTTGAGTCTAGAAGATGTCAACTGTATTTTGGGGCAGTGATCATTGCTTGGAGATTTTTCTGGATATTGAACTCAGGTTGAACAATTTCTTCTTCATATACCTCTCTCAAATCTTTTCTTTTTCAGGAAAAATCAATGTTCATGTGGCATAATTTCAAGGTCCCTCACCATGCTTGTTACTTTCCTCTAGGTGTTCTTTGCCTTGGCAATATTTTTTCTAAATGTTGATTAACTGACTTCCTAAAAGTATGGTGCCCAGAACTGAACCCAATACTCCAGATAAAGGCAAAGTAGAGGGTGACTATCAATTTTCTTTCTTTCTTCCTTAGGCAATTGAGGTTAAGTGACTTGCCCAGGGTCACACAGCTAGAAAGTGTCAAGTGTTTGGTCTGAGACCAGATTTGAAATCAGGTCTTCCTGACTTCAGGGCCAGTGCTCTATCCACTGTGCCACCTAGCTGCCCCCACTATCACTTTTTTATTTCTGGATGTTACACTTCTCTCATGTGGGTCAAGATGGAGTTTACTTTTTTAGTTATCATATTTTATTGCTGAGTCATCTTGTGCTTGTGGTCCTGTAAAACTCCCAGATCCTTTTTGGATAAACTGATATCTAATCAGGCCTCTCCCATCTTATACTTGTATAGTTTTTTTTTTAATCTAAACTTAAGACATTTGTCCCTATTAAAAATTGTCCTATTCTTGGCACTTTAGCCTATTAAGTCTTTTTTGCATCCTAATTTGATGATCCAATGTGTTCATTTTTCCTGCCAGTTTTGAGCCATCTATAAATTTGAGAAGCATGCTAATCTGGGCTTTGAACCAAGGCAGTGATAAAAATGTTAATTAGCCAGAGATCTAACAGATCCCTGTGGCACTCCACCACAGATATCCTTATAATTTGCTATTGAACCTGCTACTTTTTGAGTCCAGAGAGTTAATTGCTGCTAATCCATCTAATTATGATCTCATTTAGGCATGGTTTGAAAGTCTGGCTTCACCACTTACAACCTTTGTAACCCTGGGCAAATCATTTATTTTTACTGTCCCTCAGTTTCCCCACCCCCAACCCCACAGCTTCAGAGGCCTGTTCTTTGTTTCCAAGGATTGCAGAGAGATGGGTGGGGAGGAATCAGGGTGCTTTACTAATGAATTCCAGTAGGAGGACCCACTTCAAATAACAGGTTTGATGCCACCTTTAGGAAGTTAGTTGTCCCTGCAGGAGAACCTACTGAGGAAGTGGAAAAGGAGCTGAGTCTGAGAGTCCTGCTGGCTGTGAGTAACATTTTAGGCCTATTCATTGCGATTTAACTTGGAAGTTTTGAGGGGGAGGCTATATGGGGAGGAGGGGTTTTACTGCCCCCAACTCGAACTTTTTTCTGAGTTTTGCCTTCTCCTTGTTTAAAATAGATTCAAGACTGAAAACTGAAAGGGGTTTGGGTGGTACCTCCCCGAGCAGGAAGGCCTAACCACTTGCAATGGAAGGAAAGTATACCCTGTCCCAGGCTAGGGTATCAGGCCAGAAACAGAATAAGAAAGCCAAAGGCAATTCCAAGGTCCAGAATGAAACAGGGAAAGCCATACAGAAATCCAAGATGGATGATGGGGAAAACAAGAAGCAGGCCTCCAGCCAGCATCCCAAGTCCATTGACTGTAAACTTAATGGTGAACTTCAAAAAGCTGAGCCTGATTTCAAAATGAACCCCAACATAAAGGCCAGCATCCTTGCGGAAACAGAAATTAGAACCAAGAATCTCAGTGAAAATAAGTATAAGGACAAAAAGCAGAAGCCTCTAGCGGACAAGCCCCCCACAGAGCAGGCTACAGCAGTTATTTCAAATGGAGTCAAACCCAAGCCTTCTGATTCATTCACTAATGAGCACAAGGACAGAGAGCCAGATAAGGATAGCAGTGGATCTGAGGAAGGCTATATCATCCCTAAGAAACAGAAGGCCAAGTACAATATGACTAGGTCTGAGGAAAACTTTAATTTAATGGGGTTCAAAATGGTAACCCCAGCCCCCAGGGTCCCCAACTTACAGCAGAGTTTTGAGAACCCCAAACTTTATTCTAATGGCCAAAGTGACATCAAAGTAGTTGGACCAAAGTCTGTCTGGAACTCTGAGAGGTGGGCAGTACGGGCAGGCCGTGGTAAACCTGGGCCTGGGCACATGCAGGAGAAGGCCTTTGATACCAAACCTGACCTGAACAATTCAAAGGTGGACCCGGGGCCCAAAATTGTGCCCACAGCTCCTGTTGTCCCCAAAGAGGAAGCATGGAGTCTGTTCAACCACCCCACGATTTTCTCAATAAACAACAGCAATGTTCCCAAAGTCACTTATGCCAGCAAAGTTAAGCAAAATCTATACAGGGTTCAGAGCCCTCCTATATGCCTAGAGTCATGCTCAGAGTCAGAATTGTCACCAGATCCCATAGCAGCACTGTCTTTATCATCTGCTATCACAGGGTCCCCCAGCCACTGGCTGACCCAAAGCCCTATGTCTGCCTTAAAGCCAGCGAATTCTCTGGATTTTGCTAACGGGCCTGAAAAAAGCATGAAGGCTGATAGTAACCAGGTGTTGCCATTGGAAGCCCGCCTGATCAGGCGTCCTTCTTCTAGCACCAAGTCAGTGATCCACAAAGTGAATCCAAACTGCCCACCTGTAGAGCCAAGTCTCTTTACCTGGTCCTCAAATGTGCCAGCTGCACTCACGGGCCTGACGCCAAACATCATGCCCCCCCAGACACAAACCCAAATGCTGAAGAAGATCTTCCAAAATGAGTGGGGTTTATCATTTATCACTGAGCCAAGCATCAGCCCTGAGATTGCCCAAGGGATAGCACCAGATCCAGAAGTCATACAGTCGCCACCACCACACGAGTATCCCAATTCTCTGGCTTCCCAGGAGACCAGTGAAAGCCCCTGTGTACCTGAGTATGTCTTGTTTCCCGAAGTCTACAATTGGAGCAAATGGCTTGGCCCTCCAGCTTTGGGGGACATCATAAAACCACCAGTCCCAATAGGAGAGAGCAAAGCATTAATGCTGGAGTCTATTTTTAGAGATGATCACATACAGCAAGCAAACCCCAAGAACCATAAGGCATTCACAGTTCTCCCCAATAATTACAAGATGGACAATACAGAGCCTCTTCCCATAAGCACTCTCCCTGACTCCACCTTGGAAGATTCAGAGCAGAAAAATGCCCGGGAGTCATTTGATGCCAGGGCTGCTGTTGAATACCACATGACTGAAATTAAATCTATCCTGGATAGACAGAAGCAAGATCCCAAAAGAGTAATCACTTATGATGAGTCCATGGACCATTCAGCACCATAAAGGTCCAAAGATAGGCTTCCTATTCAGAATCTGTTTGCAGCATTCAAAAAATTTGAAGAGAAGAGTTCTGTTTTTTCTATACAGTCATTCAAAGAGAAACAGACAACTGAAAATAAATGGACTTCATAAAGAATCAACAAATTAATTTCAAGAACTATATACTCATAGTTTCATCTCCAGTCCAGAAAAGTTTTTTTTTTTTTGTGGGGGGGGAAGCAAGAAGATCATTTTGTTTTGTTTTGGTGCACGAGCTTTTGCATTTTTTTTAAATTTCTGCATTTGATTTTGATTTTGCTGAAGATTTGCAGACATGGACTTGAACCCCCAGTGAGGGTTCTGAAGATCCTACTGTCATCAATTTGGACAATAACTGACCCCTGACCCCAGAGACAACTCTGTGGGAAAGGTCTCAAACTGTTTTTTGATTTTGTTCCTTGGACATTATCCTTTTCCAGCTCCTCCCATCCCCCCAGTCCTATGGTTTCCTTTCTTTTCTTCTCCTTCCTTTCCTTTCCTTTCCTTTCCTTTCCTTTCCTTTCCTTTCCTTTCCTTTCCTTTCCTTTCCTTTCCTTTTCTTCTCTCCCCTCACCCTGACTTGGACAGGGATTGCATTTTGCACAGTTCTGGCTGATATTGCCAGAAGTACAGCAGCCCAAACTGAATGGGGGGGAAGAGGGGCTGGGGAAAGGTGGAGGGGTGAAACAGGATGAGAAAAGAGAAGTAAACCCTCCAATTCTGGAGTAGTATGTAGTATAGCGTTGCCAAGGCTTCTCTTCCTTATTTGGGGTTTTACAATAGAAGAATTCCTAGGAATAGTGTTTGAAGACAAGTTATAGAACAAATAGTTGTTTTAGGTGTTTGATATGAAAAGGGAAGAAAAATTCTGTTCTTGCATTTCTCTATTCTTGTATAACTGAGATAAAAAATCTACCCTGCTTGTCACCTACATTAGCCTAACTTCTCACAAAGGCTAGATGTGCAGGGCTTTTCTGTTCTTTCTTTGCCAATCTTAACAGAAATGCAATGCCCCTACAAACCATCTCCAAAAAACGTTGGGCAGGGGCAGATGGGAGGCAATGGGAGGTGGGGGAGAATGAAGTTTCACCATGTTTGTTTCTGGAAGGTGAGCAGTGAACAAAGAGGCTCCGTGGAAGGAACCCTTCTCCACTTTCCTGAAATCTGTGTGCTTTTAAACTATATTGCTTCTAAGTCTCTTTTGAATATAGATAGAGTGGGGTATGCCAACCTCCCGTGCCAGTAGCTTGGTACTCTAGTATAGTCTTATTTGACCAGTTTGCCCCCCAAGATTTGCAGCACCTGGAGAGACCGAACCCAGATGGCAGTGATGTCCGACTTCAAGAGGTCACCAGCAGCACCAGTGAAAGACCCAGAGGGATTCAGCTGTGCCAAGAACCATCGCACTTCTCCTGCCAAGTCCGTCACCAGATTCCTGTCCGGCAAAGAAAGTCTGCTAACGTTTTTGTGTGAATGTTTACAATGCTTCTTTGGCCAGTTCTATTAAATTTCTTTAGATCTAACTTGTTGTCAGACGTGATTCAATACAGCAAAGGAGGGAGCAGAGGGGAGGGTGTTGCATGTGGATGGGGGCAGGAGTAGAGTTGTATGGTTGGCACTATCCACAGCTTCCCCCTCATATAAACGAGAATACTTGGCAAAGGGCAAAGCTAAGGAATAATCAACAGCAAACTGCCCTGAGATCTGGGAAGAAACAGGCAAGTTGACCCACAATCTCCTTGGATATTTCTTAACATCCATTTCATATTTGGTTACTAGAAAAAAAAAATCTGGAAGAACTTAACTAGCATGGGCCCACCCATCCCCCTATTCCCCAAGGGAACAGACAAGGAAACTGAGGATCAGAGACAAGATCACACAAATAGTAAATAGCATAGGCAGGATGAGAGGCCAGATTTCCTGACTTCACCACATCACCACCACAGACAGTTATAACACCCTGGATAGGAGAGATATCAGTAAGCCAAGCTCCTCATTTTGTGGGAAAAGAAACTGTGACCTATGATAGAAAAGGATTTAGCAAAGAGGGAAGATTTGAACCCAGGCTGTCTACCTGCTCCACTTTCCATCACACTGACCTTGGTCTACAAAAGAGAACAGGAAAGAAGGGAAGGGAACATGCATTTCTTAGGCTCTTATTTTGTGCCAGACACAGTGACTAAGCAGTTTATAGATACTATTTCATTTTATCCTCACAGCATCGCTGCAAAAGAGAAAGGGAAAAGGAAAGGAAAAGAATAAGCGTTAAATAGGTACCAACTGGAGGGTGGCTAGGTGGTGCAGTGGATAGAGGCTGGGCTGAAGTCAGGAGGACCTGGGTTCAAATCTGTTCTAAGACACTTACTAGCTGAGTAACCCTGGGCAAGTCACTTTACCTTGTTTGCCTCAGTTTCCTCAACTGGAAAAGAAAATGGCAAACCACTCCAGTATCTGCCAAGAAAAACTCCAAATGGGGTCACAGAGAGTGGGGACACAACTGAACTGAAAAAAAATGTGTCAGCAACTGTGCTAAATACTTTAAAGATATGGTCTCATCCCCCCCCCCCCACAATAGCACAAAGAAGGGGAAGGAAAGGAAAAAAAAAGCAATTAATAGGTTTTTACAATGTGCCAGACACTGTGCTAAATGACTGAGATTTATTAGATCATTTCATCTTCACAACATCTCAAAAAAAATAGAAAACAGGGAAGGAAAGATTTAGCAGGCAACTCATATGGGCTAGGCACTGTGCTAAACACTTCACTGGTGATCGCTCACTTTATCCTAACAAAATAGCTACAGAGAGGACATGGAAGGAAAGGGAAATGCATTTATTAGCCACCTACTATGTGCCAGGCACTGTGTTATGCTAGTGCTTTACAGAGATGATCTGATTTTTATCTTTACAACATCTCTAGAAAAGAGAAGGAAGAGAATAGATGGGAACAAGTACTTATTAGACACCAACCATATGCCAGGAAGTTTACAAAGCACTCTGTGGATATGTTTATCATTTGATCCTCACAATATCTCTACAAAAGAGAAGAAGAAGGGAGGGAAAGAAACAAATATGCATTAGGTAGCTACTATGCGCCAAGCACTGTGCTCAAAACTTTATAGATCACTCATTTTTCCACACATCGCTACATAAGAACATACACTACAAAGGAAGGGACAGAGAAAAATACTTATTAGCCTCATACTATGTGCCAGGCACTGTGCTAAGCACTTTGCAAATATTATCTCATTTTCCATCACATCTCTAGAGAAGAGAAGGAAGGGAAGGGGAATGGAGGGGAGGGGAGGGAAAGGGAGGGGAGAGAGGGGAGGGGGAGGAGGGAAAAGGAAGGGAAGAGAGGGAAAGGAGGAGGAGGGGAAGGAGAAAGGAGGGAAAGGGAGGGGAGGGGAGGAGAAGGGAGGGAAAGGAGGAGGAGGGAAAAGGGAAAGGAGGGAAAGGGAGGGGAGGGGAGGGAAAAGGAAGGGAAGAGAGGGAAAGGAGGAGGAGGGGAAGGGAGGGGAGGGGAGAAGAGAGGGGAGGGGAAGGGAGGGGAGGGGAAGGGAGGGGAGGCGAGAAGCATTTATTACACATGCACTACATGCCAAGCAGTTTGCTAAATATTTACAAATAGCATCTCTTTTATCTTCCAAACATCTTTACAAAAACTAAAGGGCATGGAAGGAAACAAGTATGTATTGGACACCTGCTATATGCCAGGCTGTGTGGTAAACACTCTATGGATATCACTCTTTATCCTCAAAACAGCTATAGAAAAGAGAAAAGAGAAGAAAGTAAATGAGAATATGCACTTATTAGACACCCATTATATTCCAGGTCCTATGCTAAATACTTTACAAATATTTTTATCATTTTATCCTCACTGCATCTCTACAAAAGAGAAGAAGGATGAGAAGAGAAAGGAACAAGTATTTATTAGACACGTTCTATGTGTCAGGCACTGTACAATGCACTTTATAGGTGTTTTCTCATTTAATCCTCAAAACATCTCTACAAGAGGAAACAGAGAAGGGAAAAGAAGGAAGCAAGCACTCATTAGACACCAACTATACGCAAGGCACTATGGCCACTCCTTTACTCCTATTGTATCACTTTATCCTCACAACATCTCTACAAAAGAGAAAGGAGAAGCTAAGGGAAAGGAACAAGCATATATTAGGCACCCACTATGTGCTAGGCAGTTTGTTAAACACTTTACAAATATAATTTCTTTTTATCTTCAAAACATCTTAACAAAGAAAAGGGGTTAAGGAAGGAAACAGACAGCTAGGCAGTGCAGTGGGTAGAGCACTGGGCTTGGAGTCAGGAAGACCTGAGTTCAAATCTGGCCTCAGACAGTTGTTAGCTGTGTGACCCTGGGCAAGTCACTCCACCCTATTTGCCTCAGTTTCGTCATCTGTAAAATGAGCTGGAGAAGGAAATGGCAAACCGCTCCAGTATCTCTGCCAAGAAAACTCCAAATGGGGTCACAAAGAGTCAGATGCAACTAAATGATATCAACAAAAAAGAAAGAAAACAAACATTTATTAGGCAACTACTCTTTTGTTTTGTTTTAGGCAGTTGGGGTTAAGTGACTTGCCCAGGGTCACACGGCTAGTAAGCAGGCAACTACTTTTGACCAAGCAGTTTGTTAAGTACTCTGCTGATATTATCTCATTTTATCCTCAAAATCTCTCTATAAAAGAGAAAAGGTAAGGAAATATGTGGTGGTAAGCACTTATTAGACATGAACTGTATGCTAAGTTCTATGCTGAGTAATTTACAGATATTTTATCGGCATCTCCATGAAAGAGAAAAGGGGAGGAAAGGGAAGGAAAAAAGCATTTATTAGGCACCTATTATGTGCCAAGGACCATGATAAACTCTTTACAAATATTATCTCATTTTATGTTCAAAGTATCTTTATAAAGAGAAGGAGGTATAAGGGGAACAAACATTTATTAGGCCCCTACTGTATTCCAGGAACCAGACTAAGCCCTCTTCTCATATTTTATCATTTTGTCCTCAGAACATCTCTACCAAAGAGAAAAGAGAACAGAAGGGTAGGAAAGAAATATTTATCATGCTCTTATTATGTAGCTGGGCACTATGGGAAACATTTTACAGCTATCTCATTTTTTACTTAAAACATCTCTAGAAAAGACAGGAAGGAAAAATAGAAGACAATGAACATTTATTAGACACCAGCTGTGTTCTAGGCCCTATGGTAAGGACTTTACTGATATTTTATCATTTTATCCTCACAACATCTCCATGAAAGAGAAAGGGGAAGGGAATAAAACAAGCATTTATTAAGCATCTCCTATGTGCCAGGGACTGTGCTAAACTCTTTACAAATATTATCTCATTTTATCTTCAAAACATCTTTATAAGGAGAAAGAGGTATGAAGGGAACAATCACTTTTAGGCACCTACTATGTGCAAGTAACTATACTAAGTCCTTTACTCATATTTTGTCATTTTATCCTCAGAACATCTCAACTAATGAGAAAAAAAATAATAGAAGGGTAGGAAACAAGCATTTATTATGCTCTTACTGTGTGCCAGGCATTGTGCTAAAGACTTTAGAGATATTATCTCATTTTATCCTCAAAATATCTATAAAAAGAGAGGAGAGAAGGAAATAAGCACTTATTAGACACCAACTATATGCCAGGACATATATGATGTAATTTTATATCCAAAACATTTTTATAAAAATGAAAAAGGAAAGGAATTGTAGGAAATATGCATTTATTAGACACCATCTTTGTGCAAGGCCTGTGATAAGCACTTGACTAATTTTTTTTATTTTATTCTCACAGTATCTCAACCAAAGAAAAAAAGGGAAAAGAAGAGAAGGGAAAAGCATTTAGAAGCACCCCCACTATGAGCAAGGCAATGTACTAAATAGTTTAATGAAATGAACTCATTTTATGTTCAAAACATCTTTACAAAAAGAAGGAGATACGGAAGAGAACGAGATTTGTCAGGCATCTACTTTGTGCCAGGCAGTGTACTAAACATTTCCTGAGGTTACCTCTTTTTATCCTCAAAAGATCTCTGGAAAAGAGAAAAGGGAAGGAAATAGATGAGAATAAACATCTATTAGACACCAACTGTGTGCCAGGCCCTAAGTTAAGCAATTTCCAGATAGTTTATCATTTTATACACCACTCTATTTCTTAGCCAGTCCCAGATTGTTTTCATGATTACTGCTTTGTAATACAGTTTGAGATCTGGGAGGGCTAGGCTACCTTCTTTCACATTTTTTATAAAGATGTTTTAAAGATAAAATGAGATAACATCTGCCTGGCATATAGTGGGTGCATAATAAATGTGTGTTCCCTTCCCTTCTCTTTTCTCCTTTATAGAGATATTGAGAGGATAAATAATCTGTGATGTGATTAACATCAGGCATGG